TGCGGAAGTGTTACAATCAAGATTACATATACAAAAACGTGTTTGCATAAAAGAAATGTAGGTCTCTTTTCTATTTTATTCAGCTATTGTTCAATGTGGTTACTTTATATTAAGAGTAGTAGATTGTTACCAGTTCTTTCTTATTATTCTATTGATGAAATGGGATCCTTGGGGGGGGGGGGGGGGGGGGCTATGCTCAGCAGTGGGAATCGTATGGCTAAGCTAATGATGATTATTGGTCAAACTAGTTAGTAGCCGCTTCGTACGGGCAGTGGAAGTGAATTTGATAAATATGTAAAGACATGAATAAGAGTGATAAAAAGTGTGTGATATTGAAATATCAAAATATCTTTTAGCATATCGTGTAATTACAAAACTCGGCCTGGCCTCACGCGGCAAGTATCGATAAAATATATTGTTTACGAACAATCAATTCCCATCTCGGCGGGTGTTTCAGTGTAATTTTTGTTATTACGAGCGTTCGATTAGTCATGCCTCCCTCTAGTACAAGTCTCATCTAGCTCGCTTCACGTTTTGTTCGCAATAAATCATTTATCGTGAAACAAACAATTTCCATATTGTTTTACTTCAAGGCTGGTATGTAGTGAGTAGGTTTTCTTGTTGTGAATTTTGCAAGAAAACATTCCACGCGCTCCAGACATCAGGCAAGATAGACTGTCTGGGCGGATAGCGGAAGATGCAGGTTCGAGTCCAGTCTGATGCCTGGACCGCGAGGAATTTTGACGTGATAGCGTCTTATGAATCGATGAACACCGGCTGCACTCACGAAAAAGTATGACGTTATGTCACGTTGTTACGAGTTAGTTCAACGTTCCGCGGTGTGTGTGAGGTAAAGGGGTTCCTTCGCTAACAGCTAAACAGCTAGTACTAACTTTTCTGCTATTGATGAGAGTAATAACGATGTTGCCTTTTCGTTACTCTGGGCAATAACAGCCTCCGTTTTTATGAGACGCAGTCTTACATTCTTGTCTTTTGTAAGTGATTGGGTGATAAAGAAAGCGCTCCACTAACTCGTTTCCGTTAACATAGTATAGTTAAATCCCTTGTAGTGTTTAACCAATATTCCTGTTTAACAAACCAGTTTCATCATTATGTTTGAAAAATCGACAGTTCCACCAATTTGAAAGTTTGATCCACTGTGCTCAAAAATCCTAAATATGTATTTTCTTTTAAAACAAACGCTATATTTATAGGACTTGATAAAATATTTTTATATAGACGAATTCAAAATGTATACAACCCCTTTTCTTAAACTTACCGGATGGCCTATTCTTTCATTTAAAGTAAATTCCTGGTACATTTGACGTTTTGCTTTTGTGTTCAATGGAGTATCGATGCTTGAAATAATTTTCTTTCAGAATCTAACAGAAAATTCTATCCGAAATCTGAGATGATAATTAATTTCAAAGTTAATCTCAGTTCTAACAAAGAAAATGCTCGAAGGCATTTCATAAATAGGAACTTGATACTTTTCCATAGTAAGTAAATTTGTTTTACACTGAAAATAGCACAGGTAATACAATTATATTTTAGATAAACGTAACTTTAGACGTAAGTTAAACACGGAAGTTTCATTTTGGAAAATTGATTTTGTATTTGAATACTTCCTTATTATGCTCACTGTATCGATTACAGTGAGTAATCTCTATATTGGAAGATTTTAGATGGTATGGCGGATGGAGCCTATTCGAAAAACTCCATCACAACCTAACAAGGCAGGCTGGGTGGGTACCTAGATAGGTGGCTGTGGAGTTGGTTTAAAGTTTTGTTTAACAGATTAGCGGAATGGGGGTCTCATTACATGATTCATCACGCTGCCCCAGTGCGGAATGGTTGGTAGGATACTTTTTTATCAATACGAAAATATTAAGATGGCTAAGGAAGGGTACTGCGCCCAATCCGCATTGGACCCAATCCACGCTGGGATCAATCCGTGCTGCGCCCAATCTGCACTGAGCTCATTTCGCACTATGCTCATTACGCACTGGGATTCTCACTGCGGATTGGAGGGTTAGACAATTTTTCTTATGGAATAGGGAGATTGGACCTAGACTCGCCACTCGGGCCCAGTGGGGATTGGTGGGTGGTATATAAATTATATTTTGTAACTTCGTTCCAACAGAGTGTTCCACAACACTCGTGCATTTTTTTTTCTATAAAAGGGCGTTTTAAATCATCTGGTGGTAGATGGGTAAGTTTAAAATTAGCTGTTAATGAGAACTCTAAAGAGTTCAGTGTGTCAAATTTGACAATCAATATCTTAGAAAAATAAATAAAACTAGTTTTTACGGGTTAATGCAGGAAACTTTATTTATTTATTGACGTTTCGTAAGTTTTATTGTCTATGTATGAAAACTTTAAAAAACGAACAATGAATTAACCGAACGCTCAATAAAAGTCTTTGGAAGGTAGCTCGACAAATTAAATAAAAGTTTGATTCTGACGACGTAGCCTGTAAAGGCTACGAAACGTCAATAAATAAATAAAGTTTCGTGCATTAACCCGTAAAAACTAGTTTTATTTAATGAGTGATGTGCGTGAAAACCTAAGAAACAAATATCTTAGAAAATATCATTACACAAGATCTTTAAATATACATGAAAGATCGTTATTTAATCATTATATTTCATGTTATTTCCCCACTCTAACAACACCACTCCGGTATAGTCGGATCCAATTTATATTTTGTTGTTTAGAAACAATATTGTCATCATATATTCTAAAGCTGACAAGCTTGTCGTTATTATTTCATTTACGTTTTGCTTTGAATTGATCAAGTCAAACGAAGTCTATTCATATAATGTTATAAATATAAACTTTTTATTTCCTTATAGTTTACATTTTAGTTGTAAATGTTATTTTACAGGACGAAAAGCTTGATGGCGCAAGCGCATTCAGTCTGCGATTTGGCAATGCATGTTCATTGGGCGGAAGTCCTAAAACTTATTATTTTGAGCTCCTCCGTGCTCCGGAAGGCACTTATAGATGCAACTATAGAAATCAGTTTATTCATTTTCATTTCTTACAAAATTCCCAGTTCTGCACAATTCTCACTCCTCTTAATCATAACAGCAAAAGAATTCAAGTCCCATTGTAAAAAGGCCTGACATCTTTTGAGGCAAAAATTTTGTGGGTATTCACATACCGTATCATATTCGTTGATTCAAAAACACGAGAGAAATTCCAAACGTGACTTCATTAAAATATTTAATGGCGAAGGTTCACATTCTGTACGGATAATTGCTCTGAATAAACTTTCCGCTGAGTGTACGAGTATGCAACTTTCCAGAGGCGACATTTGAAGTACTGCCTACACAAGTGCTAAAATTATTTCAAGTCAACGGTTGTACAAGTTTGTTGTCTGCAGTCACGAAAGATGGTAATTTAGCTGTGAAGTTTAAATTTGCTATTGCACATAAACTAATTTTTACCCAAATTGCCCAGACAATGCAAGTATTGTATCAATGTCCATTAAATTGTGATATATAAACTGATCTATACGGGACATTTGACATCGTTCCGTACCTTACGTTCTCATATTTTTGACGTTAACTTAAAAGCTTTAAGCTTTAAGGGTCCACAGACTTGAGTATATGGTTTAAATCTCAACCCGAGATAAACGTTCTGACAGACAGACGGACAAAAGAATGATCCTACAAGAGTTCCATATTTCCTTTTGAGGTAAGAAACCCCAAAAATATAAAAAAATAGGACAGCCATACTACAGCCAGCTATTGCACAAGTTCCTTTACTTCCAAAACAATCGAAATTGAATGGAAAACTAAATTTATTTTAATTGGGCCGATACCACCGATTTCTAAAACAATTGTATTAATAAAACTGAAAAAAGTTTGGAGTTACTATACCAAAAAATAACCTGTTACATAAAAATAGTGACTACATAACTTTCGTTACTACAAGACAAAGTCGGTTTTGTTAAAATAGTTTCATTAACATTTAATATTGGAATTTTATAAAATTTTTGTATTGGTAGTTACCAAAATGTTCCGAGTTAATTACTTAATATAATCTACTACAACAAAACAGTCATGTACGAGTAAAAAGAGATTGATGTTACGAGTAACCATATACATTACTGCTTTGTTGTTATAACAAAACAATTATTTTAAATCATGCAGTTAAGTAGATATTTTCAAGAGAATTTCACAATTGTTACATGGCTCTATTAAATCACATAAAAGAACAAAGTAAAATGGTAGGTAACTACAATCAGGATGTGATACGAGTTCGTACAACAATAAGATTTGTTTTAGAAGTAAACTCGAAGTAACTCGAATGTAGGAATATATATCACAGACTATACGGAAGCCTACATCTCGACAACTATGTTAGTTACGCATCTAATCTGAGATCTGAGACAAAACTTGTACCGGAGATAACTTGGTGCCTTCAAAAGTTTACAATGTACGAGGTCGTTGGATAACAATGTTGTTATGTGACACAGCGCTATGGAATATGCATTCAAATCTTGATGAGCATTGGATTAAAAAGCAAACCAAACAATTTGGAAAAGATTGGTATCACACACGATGTATGTACCATACTCTAAGGCCCGTATTATAGAAAGATTCTCAGTGATTGATCTAGTCTTGCGCATAGTTAGAAAGGGATGCCGCTATATATAGCACATAGCGCCATCCCTTTCTAACTGTACTCAAGTAAAGATCAACACTTACTTGTCATTCTGTAATACGGTCCTAAATCTGCTTATCCCCTTCATCTGGTCAAGTGTTTCTCTTTTTAGTATATTTTATTATGATTATTAGAAAATAAATTCATAAACATTCCAATAAAAAGAAACGACTAGAAACCTTAATCCAAAGTGACTTGAAATAAAATCTTATTTCCATGTTCAAATATCAGAATATCCTCTCAGAACTTAAACTTTGTTACAGGTATCTATAAGCTAAAATGTAATCCACCTTCATTCTAAAGCGTCATTATACAAAGTTGCTGACCTGTACAGTGGTATCCCAGCATCGTCCCGGAACCAAAACACCATGTAGACCTTATCGTTAGCGGCGGTTCCCAGGTCACAGGGGAATTGTGCCACCATGCCTTCCACGGCCTGTACGTCCACCGTGCGCACGCCAGCTGTAACAAGTAATGAAATACGTTATTTAAATCGTCTTAGGAAGTAACCTCCAGCTTACAGAAGACCACAGTAAAATAACACCAACTTCTGGTGGTGTTGTGTTTCTGTAGGTAAGTAAGGTTCCATGGCTCCACGGGGTAGGGGATGGGGTCAGGGTAGGCAACAAGTGATATTGTTTTTATCGCAAGCGTCTGTAGCAGGGCTTGTTTACCGGTTAATTTTTAAACCAAAATCAGTGTCAAGTACATTAGGAGCATTTTATTTAGGTTTGGCTCTACCTTAACCTAAAAAAACCGGTTTTCCTAAAAAGCGAAATCAAATAGGTTTTGAATCAATTTAGCGGTTTTTAAAGGGTTTCATTTCTCTTTTACTGACGGCTGAATTATATACACAACTACAAAATGAATAACTTGTCTCACTAGACGCTAGCAAACGTGTCAATAAATGCATCAATCTCTGAGCATTAACGAGTTGTGACTTGATTAGTTCAAACAAAACAAACTTCAAGCGATGCCGACGCGTGCACGTGTCGCTGTGGATTAAACCGGTTTATTAATATTTTAGGTACCGCTTTCATTTCGGACGTGCTCCGAACGAAACCTTTACTAAAAACCAGTATTAACCTTTATTTATCGGTATTTTTGAAACAGGTTTCAAGCCCTAGTCTATAGGCTATGGTGGCCGCTTAATATCATGCGGGACACAAGCTTGTTGTCACCCTTTGAACATAAGAAATAGTATAATAGAACAATAGTTTTGAATAAATGTATGTATGTAGTAAGTATTATGTAATATATTTAATTATATATAACTATATTTGTAATAAATTATTTTAGTTTAATTATTGCACTTTCTGTTTCCCACTAAGTTTGGAATCTCCGACTGTTTTGAACTATATGATGCAATAAAGAGTATACTAATAACAAAATCAACACTATTTCAGTGATTATTTTTAACAGTAGTATTAACCTTCTTGATACTGTTAGTATTATCAATATTTTAGGAATTAGTGTCTATTTTTTGACTTATTTTCAATTTGAATTAGCCTATCTTCAATTTAGAATCCAGGCAGCGGACGGGACCGCCTGGTCCGCGTGGATTTTTTTCTAGTAAACTTTTCACTTATGTAAGTTATGATTAAAATACTCTTCTAGGAGATGTAAAGTGAGACCCTTTCTTTCAGACAAGTGTAGATTCCGGTAGGACATGGACTGCCAAAGGGATATTCCAATCCATAAATTATGATTCTAAATTGAAGATAGGCGAATTCAAATTGAAAATAAGTCAAAAAATACACTTATTCCTAAAATATTGATAAGTTTCTTTAGATTTAAACATCTAGCAGTTAAATGCTTAAAAAATAAATAAAATCATAATTACGTAACTGAGTTATGGGCACGATTTCTATTCATAACTAACTGTCAAAACTTTAACGCAAATAATGTTTACAAAATATTAAATGAAAACTTCTTCACGCGTTTAAATTCTTGAGCCATAATAGATTTTGTCTGGCGATTCTGACACAGTTAAATTGTATAAGTCTGTACAAAACATGTAAGTAGCTCAAATTACAGAACAAAAAGCAGATGGAGCGTACGGTACACACATTGCGAGCCACCAAAGCAAATATCAAGACAAAAGTACAAGACTTTTTTTAGCCAACTGCGCACGCAACCAGTGGGAAGCGTCTGCGCGTCGCGCTTTCCATACAGTCCCCTGCTTCTCGCAGGGTATTGAGTTTAACAGTTTATAGATGTATGTATATTTCTTTGGGGCACACTAGAGACCAAATGCGTGGACCGCTTTTGATGATTCATACGTCAATCTATTAGTCTTAATCATGGGAGTTCAATGATATTAAAAATGACTTCAGAGTTTTACCGATTTCACCTTAGAATGAAATCCAAGATGAAATCGGTAAAAGTCTATAGATCGGCCCACCCAACGTAACGACTAACATTTATGTCATTGCATCTTGCTCATGTTCATAAAGACGCCGACCGCCACTGTGCATGCGTCGGTTGGAGAATGGTCAATCGACCACCATTAGCTGCATCTTCTTAGTGTTAATTTGCATTACGAAATTATACTCTTCGAACGCAGTTTGGCTTGGTGCAACCGAATGAAAGTTAGGTATCCCATTTCAATTTTGACGTAATCATCAAATAATAATTTTGCGTGGTTGTTTATTCAACAGCCCGTGTTAGTAGCATTCTGACCTAAAATAAAGACAGTAAAGAGTTGTATGTTATAAGGAAAATTCACGTCCGTATTCCCCGAGGGAGTGGACGGACTTTGAATACGGATCGTTATAATTTCTTGCACTTTTTAAGATTTTCAAAAGCGTCTATCCTAGCATATATGTAAGCTAAGCTCAAAATAAGGTACATTAATGATAATAAATCTGTGTAAAGTAAAATCATCACTGGATAATGTAACAAATGATATTACTTTTGATTACATGATCTGGGTTGGTGAACTTTATTTTGCAAATCTCAAATATTGGAGGTTCTATTTTTAGTCGGATCAATACAGGAAACGAATTCCTAGATTATCTTAGGTTTTGTACGTGATATATTTCTACAGCTGGTTACTTTACGATTTGTCCAACTTCGATGTGATTTTTTTCAAAACCTTTAAAAAGAATGAATGATTGATTCATTAAAATAAAAGACTAGGACAATTTATGACAAAATTAACATTATTATTTTGCTTGAAAAATTTTCTGAACTGAAAATTATAGCATTTCACAAAATACAAAGAAGTTGTACTGTTCAAACTGCCACTGGATTGCGACCACAAGTTCAGTTATGCAGATGTTGGAGATTCCCGCGGCGGCGGTCGCCGGCAACAATACAATAACGTACACGCCCCAAAGTCCATTAGTATGGTAACGAGGCTCTGGACGACTTCAGTTCCGAGTTCGATCCCGATCCGGTGCACTCTGCGGACCGTAGCCGGTGTTGAGGCTTAATTGTGGAACCTTCCCTTGTTTACAATAGGAGAAGCTGAATTGAAAGGACGAACTTCGGCCTGAATTAATGGGCTTTAAAATGTGTTTTTCTTTTTTATTGTTGAATAATTTTGTTTATTAATAATCATAATCATAATAATCATAATCAAAATCATTTATTCAGTTTAGGCTGTTACAAGCACATATGAATGTCTAGAAGCTACGCCATCGGTTCGTAAATCTACGGCGGGAGACCTTGTACTGAGAAGAACCGGCAAGAAACTCAGCAAGGGCTGTTTTTTTCTCCCTGTTTTATTATTTACAGAGTCGTCAAATTGAAAAATGACTTCAGAGGTGATTCATGAAGTCACTTTTCATTACATAATTATTAAATATACATTAATTGTTTACCTGCATTTTGATTGCTGTGTCATACAGTATAAATACAAATAGTGTTATTTATATTCAGTGTGACTAAACATTAACTTCAATATTAAGGAAGTTAGGGCAGACTCATCTCCGCTGGCAGCACCCGTTCACGAGCATGACGCATGAACCAGCCATCGCTTCGCTCAACCATATTTTAGGGAACGTAACGACCCGCCTCACACGACACCGCCGAAGAGACTATTATGAGAGCATGACTACCCATAACTACCCATACTAACTACAACATATTTACTTAAATTAAGGTCATTTACCAGTAAGACACAACAAACAATTACAAAACAAAGCAAAGGAGAAATCACGACCACGCCGTTTTGTCAATCAAATATTCTTAAACAGTCTGGTAATCTTACTTAAGTTATTAACTTTATATACAGCTTTCAGTTTAATTATAGTATTGTCAACACATAATTCATAATTTAAATCATATAGAAATACCCGTTGGAATGGTTGGAACAGTTCATACCCAAGCATTTTTGTCTGTAATATAATCAGACACTTTATAATATGCTTTCTTAACTAGTAATTTTTTAATGGTCGATTTAAATTTAGTCATGCTTAACTCTTGAATATTGCTTGGAACTTTATTGTAAAAGCGAACACTAAGACCTCTAAACGAATTATTGATTTTGTGGAGCCTAGTAGCAGGTAAAGTTAAGTTATTTTTATTTCTAGTATTATATGTATGTATTTCACTATTTTTAGTAAACAAATTAATATTTTTTTTTACAAATACTAAGTTGTCATATATGTATTGTGATGCAACTGTCAATATACCTATTTCTTTAAACTTATCTCTTAATGAATCCTTAACTTTAAGATTATAAATTGATCGAATAGCCCTCTTCTGCAGCACAAATATAGTTTGAATGTCGGCGGCATTTCCCCACAGTAAAATACCGTAAGACATTACACTATGAAAATAACTAAAGTAGACTAATCTGGCAGTTTCTATATCCGTTAACTGCCGTATTTTCATTACAGCATATGCTGCAGAACTAAGTCTCTTCGACAATCCATCAATATGTGGGCCCCACTGCAGCTTAGAATCTAGTGTGATTCCTAAGAACACTGTGGTATCTACAGAGCTCATATGTCGATCCTTTATATTTACATTAGTTTTTACCTGTTTCACATTAGGTAATACAAATTTCAAACACTTAGTTTTCCCTTCATTTAGCATCAAATTATTAACATTGAACCAATGGACTACCTTCGAAATAGACCTGTTCACGTCATCAATTTGTGACTCCCTACATTTAATTTTAAACAAAAGTGAAGTGTCATCCGCAAACAATACTATTTCGTGGTTATCCTTTACAAAATAGGGCAAGTCATTGATATAAATTAAAAATAAGAAAGGACCAAGGATTGAGCCCTGCGGAACTCCCATCTTAACCGACGAACCAGGAGATTTTACTCCATTGATGTCAACCCTCTGAACCCTATCACTCAAATAAGATACAATAAGATCCAGAGTGGTATCTCTAAATCCATAGTGGTGAAGTTTCCTGATCAATGTTTCATGAAAAACGCAATCAAAAGCCTTTGATAAGTCACAAAATACACCTAATGCATCTTGCGAGTTCTCCCAGGCAT